TATATATAGGCTGAGGAGGTTGCAATTGCTAATCTAAAGAGGGCTTTTGGAGCTTTGAACACTCACCTTGCTTCAAACACTTATTTGGTTGGGCATAGTGTCACGCTTGCAGACATTGTTATGGTCTGCAATATTGCTTATGGATTTAAAGCGGGCCTGACCAAAAGCTTCACCTCTGAGTTCCCTCATGTGGAGAGATATGTGTGGACGTTGGTCAACCAGCCCAACTTCAAGAAAGTATGGGGTGATGTCAAGCAGGCTGAGTCTGTCCCGCCTGTTGCATCCAAGAAGCCGGCCCAACCCAAGGAGGCTGCAAAGCCCAAAGCGAAAGAGGAGCCAAAGAAGGAGTCTAAGCCCAAGGAGGCGGCAGCAGAGGAAGAGGAGGCGCCCAAGCCAAAGGCTAAGAACCCGTTGGATCTGTTGCCTCCGAGCAAGATGATTCTTGATGAGTGGAAGAGGCTTTACTCTAACACCAAAACCAACTTCCGTGAGGTTGCAATCAAAGGTATAGTTGTTTCCTGGCATTCATGTTTGGACCTTCTGTACATTTTTTTTTTAATTAATTGCACATTGGTTGGTTTATACAATCAATCAATCAACAGCCGTTAAAATCCCACTAAGTGAGGTTGGCTATATGGATCACATGTCGCCATCGTGCTCGATCATAGCACATATCGTCATTCAAATGTTAATATTTTAAATCATTTTTTGTTACATTGTTAAAAAATTTATTTGCATTGATGAATCATTGACAAAGTAATGTTTGTTTACAAAATAATTCATTCACATTCAATTCATACTCAAAATCTAACTCAACTTTAATTCAACCTCCATATCCTCAATATTATCAATATAATTAAATAATACAAACGAATCTTAATTACACATCACATCAACTTTAATTCACTATTCATTTACTTACATAATTTTAACTAACTACCACTTCACATCATTTCTCTCCTACTTTTACAAACAAATCAACTTTATTTATTTAATTTTAAATATTATTTTAATATAAAATCAAATCCTACTAACAACTAACCAACCATTCAAGTTTTTCAAAATTAACCCTGGTTAATCGAAGAAACTCATTTTGAGCGGATTTATCTATACTTATATAAAAGGGGATCCTATTTACTACATTCAGAAAAGTCAACAACATTAAATGTCATTACTATTTCGGTATTAGAATATTTGATAGTCATTATAAAATATTTTGAGGAAGACAATTTATGAATTCACTTACCGTAATAATCTCATTCAAATTTATTAGGTATTGATTGGAGCCATTATAATCAGTTTTTTTTATTATTACACATAGATTATATTTTTGATTCACTATATTACATTCAGATTTATTAGGTAATGATCTAAACATATAATGATTATATATAATTTAGGATTATATTTATATAGATCAATCATTCATATTTTTTATAATCATTATATTTTTAATCCGAAATTTTACGTACTAAAATTTACGAAATAAATTTATAAATCTTACATTTTTCAGAATGAATTCAATACGAAAAAAATTTAGTCCAAATTTACGTGTGGTTTTGAAGTGAAACTTTGAAAGTCAAAATCTCTCCTCATTTTAGTTACAAGAAAATTGGGCTGCATTCAACACTTGGACCAATTTAAAAATTATTCCTTAAATGAAGGAATTTATAGATAATTATTATCTTTACTCAATCACATGATTATTTTCAATATAAAAAGAGACATGTTACAAATTATGAATCACATATTACCTAATTCAATATATGAATAAATCCATAGTATTATGTAAATCCGTATCTCATATTATTATATCATTAAGAATATATTATAGTTATATTATTAAATCATAAAAAGATATTAAACCCATATTGTAAAAAAATAATTCATATAGTTTTATAACAATTCTACTACACTATTTAACAGTATTCATTTTTATTATATAATGAAATAATAATTAAATATTATATAGTGAACAACAATAAGTAAAACTATTACTTTCTCTTATATCTAGGGATAAATTTATATGTTAAAATTTATTTTTTATTAGTATATATGTTTTAGTGCGATAATATATTATTTATTTTACAAGCTAGCCCTAACATGCTCATATTTAATGTTCTGGCTAAAAAAAAACGCTGGTTAAAAGATGTGAAAAAAAGACTTATAATAATCCTATTGTTTTTTAGACTTAACGTTGATTAAAAGAGGTAGAAAATAGATAATAATCCTATTATTTTTTAAACTTAAACGGACAAGGGTGTGAAAATAACTCATTTAATATCTCTGTCCCGTGTATCGCACGGGGTATGTACTAGTTTGTAAACAAGCACGCTCTGAAAAAACTACATGGGTGTATGTTTAGCAAAAAGTTTCGCATACAATTTTGTTTGGGTTGATTTATTTTGGATCAACAATGGGCGATGTGGAATTCTGTAGTGTAAAATTATGTTCCATAGTTCTATAAATCTTGATCTGATATTTTGTTAGATACTTGCTATCTTTTTCTACTATAGAGAAGTGATGGATTTTGTTTCGTTTTGGAAAGTTGATTTGATATAAAGATGGATAAAAATGTCGATTGAATGACTTTATTTTAACATTTTTTTTTCACTCTATATATGCTTATAGGATTCTGGGACATGTATGATCCTGAAGGATACTCTCTTTGGTTCTGTGACTACAAATACAATGAAGAAAACACGGTCTCGTTTGTCACCCTAAACAAAGTGAGTGGTTTTCTGCAGAGGATGGATCTTGCACGAAAGTACGCTTTTGGAAAGATGCTCATCATTGGCTCTGAGGCTCCGTACAAGGTCAAGGGGCTTTGGCTCTTCCGAGGGACCGAAATTCCCCAGTTTGTGCTGGACGAGTGCTATGACATGGAGCTCTATGATTGGGCCAAGGTGGACATTAATGACGAGGCCCAAAAGGAGCGGGTTAGCCAGATGATTGAGGATGCTGAGCCCTTTGAAGGTGAGGCCTTGTTGGATGCCAAGTGCTTCAAGTAAAAGGATGGATTTTGTGGGTGTTTATTTTTTGGTAGCCTATTGGAAGAATTGTGTTTAGGCTGATGAGTTATAAGTGTTATACTCTCTGTTATATCTGCTTTTGCTGGACTTGGTTTTTGTAAGGCTTTTTTAACCTAAGTTTTTGAACCTTCAATTGCTGGAGTTGGTTTTTGTTAATTAGCCCATGGTTCATTGTTGGATTTGATGTTCATTGTTACTACTTTTGAGTCTTTGACAGTCAATGGCCACCAACAAGAGAACTTTATCAATTATTTTTATGCACTAGAACGATCTGTTTTTGACTTTTTGTTTAAGTGGGGCAATTTTTGAATTATTACAACTTCTGTATTAAATGATTAAATGACTAAGGGGGGTGTATTCAATTCGGGGAATTTAAGTGACATTTTAAGATTTTTCGAGATTTGAGACTTTCTAGGATTTTCAGATTTTGGAAGAATTCTATGAAATCTCAAGTCCGGAGGTAAGATTTGAAGTGGGATTTTATATAAGGTTTTTTGTTTAGAAATCCCACAAAATCTTAAAAAGTCTTAATAAATCCTAGTGTCAAAAAAATTAAATACCTCAGGATTTTGTAAGACTTTTGAAAATCTCAATTGAATACCCCAGAATTTTTAAAAGTTTTAAAAAGTCTTAACAAATCTAAATTGAATACACCAAGATTTTTAAAATCTTAAAAAGTCCTTAAAAATCCTAATTAAATACACCCCTAAATCTGTATCAAGTAACTTCACTTCAAATTCATATTGAATAAAATCCAATGGGACAAATAAAATAAAATTTAATATTGAATAATCGGTATGCAATTGTTGACCAAAATTCGTATTTTGCCTTGTCAAAACTCGACGAGATGCATCCAACCATTCCCCCCATTTATTATCAAATTTATGGCCACATTCACTCCAACTCAAATTCATTTAGTTGTGTACCTAATAATTGCTTCCCAAATTAAGATGCTTTAGTCTTTTAATTTGTTTGTGCTGTCAAAATCAAATATAATTTCAGTCTTATGTCTACTCAATTAATTTTCTAATAATGTTTGCCAAGTATCCCTGTCAGTCAAATAGTCTTTCGTTTTGGTTTCACATTGCTAGTAAGCAGTAGTCAGCTGCTCACATGTAAAGCAGAAAATCTAAGATGTACATAAAATTAACCCATAAATGATTTTGAGTTTAATTCATTTATCAATATTAATATTAACAGAAAAACTCAAACCTTAACAAGTTAGAATTGTTTATCAAACAAGTTGAGTCGATGTATAGCCTTAACACAGCCCAAATCACGAGTTACTCATACTATTTAACAACTCTACTGGAGACTAAATTAGAGGAGTAAATAATTATATTTTTTTAAAACAAATAATTTTTTAAGGTTAAAAAATTATTTTGTATTGGTTCTTTTTACACATTTTAATATTTTATTGCAAAATAGTGAAATATTTGTTGTTAAAATGAAAATATTTATAGTAACAAGTAATATAACCATTTTCCCCTTTTCCAACCAATGGACTTCTTTTTACACATGTTAATTATTTTTAGTGGCATCGACTTTTTGGGGCCCAAACTCAAAATCAGCACAACGCACCACTAATCAGGCGGGCAACAAGACAAGTGATCAACCGGCAACCAACCATCCTTACGGCTCTCTCTATAAATGCCTGTAACATCGGGTCCTTGATATCACAAGTTCACAACAACATTTTTCATTTTCAATTTCCCAACCAAAATTGTTATTTTGCAGAAAAATGGAGATCAAATCTGATGAGGGGAAAGAAAAGCAGCAAATCCCACTCCTCACACCGTTCAAAATGGGAAAGTTTGAGCTTTCTCACAGGTACTCACCAGCCATTACTAACCTTTCTTTCTGTTTCTTTATTACATATCCTTCTACTTTTTTGTGTTGTCCCTTTTCTCCCAAGTTTATTACATAATGGAAAATTGGAAATAAAGATTTGATTTTTAGTTTAAGGGCGTATTTAAAATTTGTTTTCCATGTTGTTACGACAAAACCCACTTGGATTTTAAGTTTTTCTTTTTTCAAATAATAATTTACTAGTTGTTGTGACCTTGTCAATTGCGTAAAGATTCCAACTTTATAGGAACATGCTTATTTTGTGTATGTTGTTCTTCAATTGGGTGCTTATTTTTAGATGGGTTTGGTCTGGTTGGTCAAATAATCATTTACTAGTTCTGTCCATTTGCGTAAAGATTTCACCTTTATTGAAACATGTTTAGTTTTCATCTGGAGTTCTTCTCTGTGGTGCTTGTTTAGATGGGTTTTTTTCTGGCAAACTGTTAGTCCTTAATAAGAACATCATTGCATCACTCATATTTTCTAATTTTTTATTTTATTTTCTTAAACATATTTTGGCAGAATTGTTCTGGCACCATTGACTAGGCAGAGATCCTATGGCAATGTGCCTCAGCCACACGCTGTATTGTATTACAGTCAAAGAGCATCAAAAGGTGGTTTCATGTTGAGTGAAGCCACTGGAGTTTCTGATACTGCACAAGGGTAATTTTAATATAACAATTTGCATACCCTGTTTGTATTTTATTTATATTTATATATTTGCTGAAACAATATATATTTTTAATTCCTTTCCTTTATCTCAGGTACCCAAACACTCCAGGCATATGGACCAAGGAACAAGTTGAGGCATGGAAGCCCATTGTGGATGCAGTTCATGCTAAAGGTGCAGTTTTCTTTTGTCAGATTTGGCATGTTGGTAGGGTCTCAAACACAGGTACATTCTCTTTTTGTTTTTTGTTTTTTGTTTTTGTTTTTAAATGCTAGAGTTAACTACAATACATCCTGGTTTGATTTAACTTCAAAATTTTCAGAGTTTCAGCCAAATGGACAGAGCCCAATATCATCCACAGATAAAGGACTAACTGCACAAATTCGAGCCAATGGCATTGACGTTGCCCAGTATTCCCCTCCAAGACGGCTAAGAACCGACGAGATCCCACAAATCGTCAATGATTTCAGACTCGCCGCAAGAAATGCTATCGAAGCTGGTAATAACATATTTTGTTTGACCTGTTATTAGTTACACAAAAAGCTCCATTCTTGTTATAATATTTCTTTATAAAAAGTGATTATCAGAGCCTTCTGTTGGAAATGGAAATGAAAAATGTATGCTTTAGAGATTAGAGCTCTGATTCTGCTCATCATTTTGACTCGAAACCCGTTAACAATATTTCCCTTAGGCTTTGATGGGGTCGAGATCCATGGGGCCCACGGCTACCTAATCGACCAGTTTTTCAAAGACCAAGTCAATGACCGTACGGACCAATACGGAGGATCCCTCGAGAACCGGTGTCGATTCGCACTCGAAATAGCTGAGGCCGTGTCAGACGAGATCGGAGCCGAACGAGTCGGGATTAGGCTTTCCCCCTTCACCAACTTCATGGAGTGTAGCGACTTGAACCCCAATGCTCTCGGGCTTTACATAGCTCGGGCCCTAAATAGTTATGGGCTCCTTTACTGCCACATGGTCGAGCCCAGAATGAAAACGGCCGTGGATAAAGAAGAGAGCCCCCACAGCCTTGCCCCAATGAGGAAGGCTTTTAAGGGAACTTTTATTGCAGCCGGAGGTTTTGACCGGGAGGACGGTAATAAGGCCGTGGCCGAAGATCGTGCGGATCTTGTTGCTTATGGCCGCCTTTTTCTGGCCAATCCAGATTTGCCTAAAAGGTTTGAGCTCAATGCTCCGCTTAATAGATATAATCGGGCGACATTTTACACGGCTGACCCGGTTATCGGGTATACGGATTATCCATTCCTTGAAGAAATCGCGTGATTGATTGTTTGAGTTTGCGCAGTTAGTTATGTATTGTGATTGATTGAATAAGGAAAAAAAACGTACTTTTGAAATGAAACTAATGAGAAATGTGATGTACAACATTTGCCACATTATTATTATTATTACATTGTATATCTTTCATTGCTCGATGGATTTCGGAACTAAAACGTCGAAATCACTAACTGTCCATTCGGCTGTGGCGCCCGGTGGGCCCATGTACATCTCCGTACCAACATTAATCGATAACCATACACGTTTTGCTGGTGGTGTTCCTGGATCCTGCCAGAAAATGTGACAATTAATAAAAAAAGATAATATTTGTCTATTTCTTTGTTCAATCAATGTACCTGATAGAAATACAACCGGCTAGAAAGGGCTCCTGTATCGAGCTCCCAAGTCCTTGGGCCACTAACCCATCCATCCCCTTTTTCCGCAGGGTACCCATGCACGGCCCACTCGGAATGGGGCAGGAGCTGGACCAGCTCTTGGGCCTGCGGGTTGCTAAACGGGTCGCATGTGCCGGTTGGTTTATCCAGGTACTTTGCATTCCCTGGAGCACAATAGTAATGATAAGCCGAGTAAGGAAAACGGGCCGTGTCGTTTCTTGATATGATTTCTCCTTTGGTACTGTTATGATAAGGCGGGCAAGCGGCGAGATTGGTGGGCCCACACGAGCTCCCGGTCGAAGGGTTGATGATCATCTCACTGTATCGGGTGACGTCCGTTAGGACATCCCCATCGCATGGCTTGCCGTCGTTTTTCCAGCAGCTCCCCATGTCGAGCAGGTAGAATTGACTGCTTTGCCCTCCGCCTTGTTTGATGTCTAACGTTAGTCTAACCTTGAAGTTCGGGGATTCGGGCAGCTGCATGCGTTCATAACAGTAGTTGATTAAATTTTTTTCTTTTTGAAAAAATGCGGGGGTTTTTTTTTCTTCGAAAAAATAGTTGGTTTTTGAAAAGAAAAAATGGCGCCAAACCGTTTTCATGATGCCAGTCCCGTTATAATGATACCCGCCGTTTAATCCTTTAGATGCGTCCGATCTAAGATACAGCATGAGCCAAGGGTACTTGGCGGAAATTGTCAATTTGTGAGAAACGATCCAGCTGTTTGTGCTCGAGTTCTTGCTCCACGTGACTGCGAAAAACGAGCGGTTATTTGAATTTCCCTCGGCTGCGCTCGAATCCACATCGAGATCGTAAGTCCCGTAAAACCCCCCGACTAAAGACGCGTTTTTGTTTTGGTCGAAAACGGGTTTTGACCCGTTACTGTAGACGAGGGGTTGGTTCATGCATCCTGGCCCGAAACACGGGAAATTTATCCCCGTCACGGTTTTCTTGACCTTTTTCCCATTCTCAGGGCAGAATGTGGCGTTTTTGTCGAGATTGCCGTTTTTCAGCATTATGGTCCAGAAAGACCAGGAAGCGTTGGAATCGGATGCTTCACAGAGAGACCCGAGGTACAACTCTTTTTGCGCGGCGTACTTGTCGGGATCTGTGTAAGAACTAAATTCGTCGTTGGGGATTGTATCGCCTGATTTCAGTCTGTTGTCTGAATCACTGACTCTCTGGTTTACTTCGCATGTGCTGCTCGAATTATCTGGTCATCACAACACGAAGCGAAGTTTTATGTGGCGTAATCCAAATTCAGATTCGAGTTAAAATATCAGGTATAGCTCAAATTCCATCATACAGCATACTAATGTTTTTCTCTTACACAGTAAACATAATGAAGTAGAACACAGAATGAGATAAAAATCGAAACTTGTTAATAACAAATTGAGTTAATTGATTAGCTGAATTTGCCACATTATGCTTTGTAGTAGAACATAAAAACCGCACCCAAACAAACTTTGAACCAGGCCAGGTGAGCCCGCACGTACTCAACTGGCCCTTTTGCGATTTTGCCATTGTCTAATGTCTAGATTAAGGTCTCTAGCTCTACCTCTCAAATCTTTTACCATTGAAGAACTAGAAATATATTTAGAAAAAACAGAAAGACAAAAGAAGAGGAAAGGTAAATTAAACCTGTGTGAGGTGAACAATGAAGATCGGCACAATCGGCAATCCTTGGGCTGCCCATGCCCGGAGCCTCGACTCCGACTTCATTACACGAGTTCCAAGCTTCGAACCCAAACCTTGAATCTGAGTTTCTCATTCCTGGGTCACCTAATATGGATAAATACCCAGTTTTTCCAGCTAAACAGTACAAATGTCCATGCCCTGGACCAATATCAAGAATCACAAGTGTAATAGCCACCACTGACCAAAAACCCATCACTGGAAACACCTCAAGAAGAGAACTTTTTAGCTTTGTATTAGCAGATTTTGTTAAATAAATTTCTTAGCCACCCCAGATAAAAAACCCACCACTGAAAAGCTCAAGAACAGAACATTTAGCGGTGTATTAGCAGATTTTGTTAAATAAATTTCATCCCATGAATTAGAATTGTAATGGCCACCCCAGACTAAAAACCCATCACTGAAAACAGCTCAAGAACTGAACTTTTAGCTTTGTATCAGCAGATTTTGTCAAATGAATCGCATGCCATGATTTTTTTATTTTTTTTTTCACACTTTTTTTGCTGGGATTTTGTTATTTTCTTGAAAATCCAAGGACCTTTGTTTTTGTAGTTTTTGAGATCTGAGAATAACTATATGCCTTTGAAGCAAATCAAGAATTGAGTGCCAGCCGGTGCCGTTCTTTTCTGGACTCTCCCTTTTTCTGACTTCGAAAGTCTCACACTGATTATGTCCTTTTTTATTCACAAATTAAACAAGATCATTTTTTTTATAATTTCTTCTGTTATCAATGCATTATGACTTTATGTAGAATCTGTTGGTGCAGGCTTTTTCTGCAGGGTACGTGAAATTTAGCCACAAGCATGATATTAGTTGATTTTGTACGTTTTTGGTGATTATATGACTTTAATGCATGATTGCAGATAAAGGAAACCTCTGCTAATCGGAGAAAGATCAACACCAAACGCCTAGAACACAACTAAAACGTAGGGACTTGGTAATATATTTACCCCAATTGAAGTTCAACAAGAAGCATGATTGGTAATAGTGGAAGTGTCTGAAAATTATCATATGACAAATTTACTTTTCACCTAAAGGTTGGTAAAAATTGCTATTTAAGTAATAAATCAGCACCAAATTGCACGTTTTTTAGTAAAATTATGAGTTATGACAAGCTGGTTTATTAGTATAAGGAATGCATGTTATGTGTCAAGAAATTCTTGCTTTATTTTGTACTTTCAATCAAATGTATACATTTATATTAGGGGAAGGTCCACTTTTGGTCCTCCATGTTTAGGAGGTATCCAGACTGAGTCCCTATTATGTTTTGGTGCCCAATTTTAGTCCTTAAAACAAAAAAATGTAGTCCCTATAATTGGGAAAAATCCACTTTTAGTCCTCCATGTTTAGGGATATCCAGACTTAATCCCTATTATGTTTTGATGCCCAATTTTAGTCCTTAAAAAAAAATGTAGTCCCTTTACCTCAATTTATGTGAATTAACGGTCCATTTTTTCTCGACCGTTATGTTCTTTATTTTTTTAAAATTTGTTGACTAATGTCAACTTTGACCAAAGAAAAATAAAAGAAAATTAAATGCTGAAAAAGTAAAATAAAAAACAGAAATAGTGAACTGCAGTGAAACGTAAAAAAAAAAAAAAAATTCTAACCACCTAGGGACTAAATCCGATCAAATGGATGGAAATGATGTGGTATTTTGTAGATGTGAGTTGGTTGCAAAGTTGACTACATGCTGGAAGGATGATAATCTCGGGAGAAGATTCTTGAGTTGCCCTCTATATCCTGTAAGTACTCTCCGTGAACTTCAATTGGAATATGATAAGAAATGGTTAAAAAACAGAGGGTTGTAAGGTGCAATTTTTTTCGATGGCATGACCCGGAAATGGGTGCAAGAGCATTAGCTGTGATTCCAGGCTTGCTCCGCAGCGCAAATGCTAGGGAAATAGAAATCAGACGAGCAAAAATTTTAATTTAATTTAGTGTAATTTCTTGTTTTAGTTTAATTTTTTATTAATATATTTTCAGCATTTAAATTTTCTTTTATTTATCTTTGGTCAAAGTTGACATTAATCAACAAATTTTAACAAAAATAAAGAACATCACAGTCGAGCAAAAATGGACCGTTAATTCACAGAAATTGAGGTAAAGGGACTACATTTTTTTGTTTTAAGGACTAAAATTGGGCACCAAAACATAATAGGGACTCAGTCTGGATACCCCCTAAACATGGAGGACCAAAAGTGGACTTTACCCTTTATATTATGTCTGTTTGTTCTTCTTGTATTAGGGCCCATACAAATTTACCAAATCAACTTGCAGAGAAATCCAAAAATAGTTTTTATCGAATTCCTGCAAAATCTTTACACTTGGCCTAATTTGTTGAATTAACCATCTTTAAATGGATGCCAGCTTTGATCCCTTTCTCTTATGCGTCCATTTACAAGCTTATAGTCGGCAAAAGTAATAACTTTATAATTGAAAGATTTTTATTTTGTTTTTCATTTTCTTGCAAGATTAATTTGGTAAGTGTAATTTGTGATCAGATAGGGTTGATGTTCTACTATTGTTCAATTAATCATTATTCAGGTGTTAGAAATATTTTGAAAATAGAACATAAAAATAAGGCAACTGATTGGTCCATCTTCATACTAGGGAATTGGGATTGCCATCACCAATGACATAATTAAAATTATCAGTGACTACATAAGTCCAACTCTCCATACAGCTATTAAACAAAACGATCTGTTTGTGAGCTAAGCTCAATTCGACTCATTAAGACACAAATTTGACAATGTCAATAATAACTATTTTATTCTAAATATATATAATATCTTGTAATAAAAGATCTTTAAATATCAACAATTCATAGCACAACTGCCAATGCAAATACAGAGAGCTCCATATTCTTGTTCCATCCATATTTGAATAAATAAATTACTAATTTTTGGGATCAAATGCGATTCTGGATTTAAAAGCTCAAGAACTCATCCAAACTGCAGGGAAAATGTTCTAGTGCACCAAACACAAACAAAGCATTTGAGTACCAAAAAGATTACCACAAATAGGTAAAAGAACCTCATCGAGAAAATGAGGAAACACATTACATGGTCGATGCATCGTACATTCATTTCTATTTCCTTTCGACGAAGGATATATATGTAAAATACACACTACATATACCTCGATGCATCGTACATTCATTTCTATTTCCTTTCGACAAAGGGTATATATGTAAAATACACACTACATATACCTCAGGCGCCCATTTTCGGCATCTTTATGAACTAAAACATCAAAATCACTAACGGTCCATTCAGCCGTAGCCCCAGCTGGGCTCACGTAGATTTCAGTACCGACATTAAGTGATGACCATATTCTTCTTGCTGGTTTTGTTCCCGGATCCTGCATAACAGTTTCGAAAAAACGATTACATTACCTCATTTTTCACATTATTAATCGTTTTGGATCGAAAATATCTTTCTCCCATATTGCTAGCAAACACAAACACTCCCTTAATAGTAACACTTGAGTTGAGCCTAGGGCTGCAAAAGAATCGAGCATAGACCTTGTCGAGCTCAAACTCAATTTTTTTTTTTCATTGATTGATCTCGAGCTCGACTCGTGAAACAAATGGAAATGCTCGAGATCGACTCGAGTTCTGCTCGATTTTAACAACTATAAATTATGCACCTATGACAATTTTGTGAATTACATATATATAAAGGGTATTTAAGTATTTTACGGTTTTACCGCATAAGCGGCTCGACCTTTGAAAATTTAGGCTCGACATCGACTCGATAACATACTCGAGCCCCTCAAACTCGACTCGAGTTCAGTCAAACTCGAGCTCGGGTTCGACTCGAGCGCTTGCGAGCGGCTGGACTCGTTTGCAGCCCTAGACTTGAGCCATATTCATTTTTCTTAAATTCCTTTTTCTCAATCAAATATTTCTTACCTGATAGAAATACAACCGACTCGAAAGGGCCCCCGTATCGAGTTCCCAGGTCCTCGAGTCACCGACCCACCCATCCCCCTTTTTCTCGGGGTACCCATGCACGGCCCACTCGTGATGGGGCAGGATCTGGACCAGCTCTTGGGCCTGCGGGTTGCTATACGGGTCGCAAATATCGAAAGGCTTTTCCAGATACTTTGCATTTCCAGGAGCACAGTACAAGTGATAAGCACTGTACGGAAAACGAGACGTCTCGTTTCTTAATATGATCTGTCCTTTCGTGCTGACGTGGTAAGGTGGGCACGAGACGAGGTTGTCCGGGCGGCACCAGCTCGGAGTCGAGGGGTTGATAATCATCTCGCTGTATCGGGTGACATCGGTTATGACATCACCGTCACACGGGTCCCCATTGTTTTTCCAGCAGCTCCCCATGTCGAGGAGGTAGAATTGACTGTTCTGCCCTCCGCCTTGTTTGATGTCCAGAGTTAGTCTGACCTTGAAGTTTGGGGACTCGGGCAGCTGCATGCATAGATAGATTGACTGAGATAAATAAAAAATTCCATTTTTAATACAAAAAAAGAACAAGATAGTAACAGTAACAGACCTTTTTCATAATGCCACGCCCGTTATAATGGTAACCACCGTTAAATCCTGTAGACGCATCAGACCTTAGATACAGCATAAGCCAAGGATACTTAGACGAGGTTTTCACTTTTTGCGACACAATCCAACTGTTTGTAGTCGAATTCTTGTGCCATGTGGCGGAAAAGAAAGATTTGTCCTTTCCAGCACCGGCACTTGATAAATCAGCATCAAGATCGTACGTCCCATAAAATCCTCCGACCAATGAGGAGCCACTTTTATTGCCATTCAAAATGAGTCTCGACTGGTTGTGGTAGACGAGGGGTTGGTTCATACACCCCTCGCCAAAACAAGGGAAGGTTCGGTTGGTCACTATTTTATCTACTTTCTGCCCGTTTTCGGGGCAAAGTGTGGTTCTTTTGTCGAAATTACCATTTTTTAGCATCAACATCCAGAAATACCAAGGTTCGTCAGAATCGGAGACCTCACAAAGAGACCCCAGATATAGTTCCTTTTCAACTGCATACTTATCAGGGTCCATATAGGATTTATATTCGCCAATGGGAAATTCATCTCCTGCTTTCAGTCTGTTGTCTGATTCCCTCACTTTCTGGAGTACGCTGCATGAGCTGCTCGAATGATCTGATCAATACATTGTGAAACGAAGCCGATTTGAATAATTCAAGAAATAACTTTAACATTAATCAATTTGATATTGCCAATTACCGTACTATAGTATAAATTTAGCCAGCACATTGTGCTAAATCTCTTTATAACAGATTTGATCATGCACTCAATAAATACTGATACAGACAACCGACAAATTCGAGACTTAAATGGTGAATCATATTCATGGTATATTAAGTAAAAAATTAATCCTTGTCTTCAAATATCAGTCGATGGCACTGAACGGTTAATAAATCAAGAAAATAGAAGAGCACAAACATGTGTAAAAAATTAGAGTTTTTTACTGCTTCAAAAGTTACAAACCCAGCTCACATGATTAGCTTGTCTAAGCAATATGCTCAAAACCAAATTATTATAGGAACAATGGAACTGCATTTTTGCAGCATGCATGGATGATAATGTTGGTGAAGTAGAAGCTACAAATGTATCACTATATAAGAAGCTAGAACTTGAAGTAGAATCAAATTTGGAACCAAACATAATCACATTTCCCCTGTTTTTCAAACCAAACAGAAGCTTACATTTGCAACTCACTCACATTTTCACCAGCTCAAAACATGAGTCACCTTTCCTTTCACCACCAAACACACTCCCATAAACAAACTCCTCAATGAGAATACTCACAAACACTATTTCACATTTTAAACACAACACTGTCAACACACAAACAATTCTCAAGGGAAATAAAAGACATAGCCCCAAAAGATGAAAAAAATCAAACCTTTATCATCTGCGCAGTGCAAATCAGCACAATCGGCCATTCTTGGGCTGCCCATTTTGGGCGCCTCCACACCAACTTCATTACAGAAATTCCAAGCTTCCAACCCAAATCTCGCATTTGGGCTCTTCATACCAGGGTCACCGACCACAGACACGTAGGAATTTCCCCTCGAAATTTGGGCCAAACAAGCTAAATTCCCCCGGCCAAAATCAAGAACCACGAGCGAGATAGCCAGCTCGACGAGGAAGAACAATGGCCGGGGCAAAAAACCCATCATTATTTTCCTCTGAAAAAATAAAACAGAAAAATCGAGAACAAGATTTTAGCAGTACCACCAAATGCCCAATGCTGGTGTTTTTCTATATTTTTTGCGTTGTTGTTAAAAAGAATCGTATCCCACGATTTTT